AAGGCAGAACAAATGGGTGATTCACATCAAGTTAACGGAAGCCAGGCTGCTTGGATGAGAATAAGCCAATTAGAGGATGCACAAGGAATAACAAACGATTCTTTCCAGACAGTGCCAATCCTGCTCTGCAGGTAGTGGAATGGTCTGTGAAGAAGCCCTCCCGCAACACCAACAACATCCAACAGCATCCAACCAGGCCGCCTCTACATCCAAGCGACCGGTCTTAGTGGACAGTGAGAAACACCTCAGCCGCCGGTCTTCGAATGCGAACACCCACCCAGTCGGTCCTTGGAACACTTTTCGGGTGGGCGTGGCTTCTTGCGCCCCAAAAAAACCGATAGGTTCTGCACACCGTCGGTAAACGAGGCAAACGAGCGGGTTCACCGCGAACCCGGAGCGCGCTTCCTCCGAACTAGCTTTAGTACCGTAGATTTCAGTGCCCTAGTACCCTAGGCTCTGCCTAGGCCCTGGTACCCTAGTACCCTAGGCTCTACTCCAGGATTGCAACCAAAATGTCCGAGATGTGCAACAAAGACCTTCAAAAGGTGCGCAGGCACCCAACCCAGCCAACCCACCCAACCCCCATCACCATCCACAGAACCCGTTGAACTCCTCCACTCACCGCTCCTTCAACTTCTCCAAGGCACGGTGCCAGCGTTCCCCACAGCCGTGGCCCAGCCCACCTTATGGTCCATCTTGGTCTTGCACTTCATCCGGATCATGCCGGACCTGGGACTTCTAACCGAAGTGCTTTTAGATGAGAAGCTGCTACAGGGCAGGTTCACGCGCAGGCATGGATTAAAGCACTTGCGCCGGAACGTCCACCCTGGATTGCTTGACATGTCTCACGAACTGTCTCATGTCTGTGATGCCCAGATGCTGGGTTTCAGAGGGTGATTGCCACCCGTGGCCCTTGGCACTGCATATGTAAGTTGAGGTGCCACTGGAAACTCGGGAGTTCTCTCTCAGGTGACTTCCTGCATACGTGTCACCAATCAACAACTTCATTCCTCCCAATCCAACTCTCTCTCTCTCTCTACTGTACTCTACTCTACGTTGTTCTGAATGCTCTCATCTGCTGTGCTCTGCTCCGCCCTGCACCCCTTGTTTTTTCTCTCTCTTCACATGAACAGGCAGCTGCTGTTCGACTCTGGCACTCTCTCAGCGGAGTTGCTGCATTCTTGTCAGCTCCAGCCTCGAGCAACACCTGCACCACTTCCAAGTGGCCATCTCGAGCTGCAGCCA